GTCGAACTCTAGCCTCAGAATAAAAAGGTATACGAGTATGTTATAATATACATTATACAATTGTACACTTAGCTTTCTTTGCCTTCGTCTAATAGGAAAAATATATTTATCCTAAAGTTTATTTTAAGAAACTTTTTTGTGCGATTTTTTTTTTTTTGTAATTGAAACAACTTTCTGTTCTCCCTTACTTCTTTGGAATAATATTGGGAGGGGTTGGATCATCAGTAATAAACCTTTTTAATAAAATTTAATCGCAGTAAAGACAGTAAGAGAAATGGTTTTAATTATGAAAAGAAAAATCGCACCATATAATGATGAATTGCGCGATATTTTCTTATATTTATTATTATGTTTATATTTGACCATTTTTGTATATTTAACATATTGGTAAATTTGGCTAAGATTTACTTTGTAATCTGCTTACATATAATAAGATGAAATTATTTTTGTATATCAATATATAAATATGTACATTTGTGGATTACGCTTCAATTGAAATGTTACCAAAGAAATAAACAACAATTTACTAAAACTAGAAATGAAAATCTATTAATTGTAAGTATGCTTTGGGAATTTACATGTATATACAAGAGTAAAACTCTCTATTAAAAACAAAAAATATATATATGTGATGTTCCTCTCTCTCTCTCTCTCTCTTCGATTAAATAAATAAATATGCTTTACCAAATTAAGAAACAAATTACAATTATATATCTTTCTCTGATGCTATATATATGTTATATTGAAATATTTTATTTAAAAATGTTATATGTTAAAATGTTATTTTATTTAAAGTTATAATTTCATTGATATAAATACTCTGTTTTAATCGACCGCCAGAGGTCACGCCTTCTTTATAAATAATCATTGTTGTTGTTCTTCCCCGCTGACCTTTATCTTACCTTGATACTTTACATCGTGCATTGCGGCTTGTCTGCCTGCTACAAACCTGCTACGCCTGCTTCAACACCATTGGACCCGTCTCTGCCACCCTCTGAACTCCGCGGATCACCACCCTGCCCCCCCGGTCCTCCTCTACATCCCGGCTCTCCTGGCCTCACCTGGCGATGATCCTGGCCACCCATCCCCAGCCCCTCCAACTATGCTTTGTATATATTCCGCTTTATGCGTCCATCGGGGCTCAAAAATCATTCATTTTGGTTAGCAGCCCCGTAAAATAAAGATATTTTCTCTTCCCCGCTGGTCGGCTCAAACCATATGTAATTATGTAAATAATATTTTTGCTTTATTTATTCTTACGCCTTAAGCCAGGCAGTACTTGTACAAAATTATGTTTTTAATATGAATTCATTTCTCAGCTCAATAAAGCAATATCTGATCAAAACCATTATTCTTTCAATATTATAGCTACGACTGCATCACCATTACAATAATCCTCAACATGATCCAAAATATCAAGCAGAAACACAAAAATCTTCTTTTAAAATTAATATAATATATATATACTTTTTAATATATTCATAACAACAATAAGTACAGTGCTGACAAATCCAAACAATCAAAAATAAATTAATTAAACAGAGTATATTATAATATTATTATAAAGTACATACATATATATTAAAAAATAAAGAAAGCATATCCTGACCACGAGCACATGTGCTTTTTTAGATGGCAGAGCGCCATCTAGTGGAGCAATAATAAGCTAAACGTTTATTTTTCAAAAGAAAATATCACTGATCAATTTATAGAGAGAATTTCTATTATTTTTCATAGATTTTTTCTGTTAATAACTATTTGGCTTCGATATCACAAGAAGAGAATGAAAGGGAGCACTTTCTGTTGACAATAGGTTCTTTGTGTGACATTGACAATACATGTCATCAACTTTGATGACAATCATTAGAACCACAATGAAATCACAAACACATAGCTTTGACTTTCCATATTTTCAGTCTCGTTCTGGTAGATTGGATTCAATTCTTAGAACAAAGAGACTTAAAGATTGGCTATTTAAAAATAGAACTGTCTTTGTGCCAATATTCAGTAACATATTTTTAGTCCCAACAGCGCCATGCAATCTAGTCAGCCTAGACTGAAATTGCAATCTTTCTTGTAATTCGTACCCACGTCAGGAGCTGGGAGATTGTTTTCTTTGGCAAAGATAGCAAGGCGGGGGTGGCGTTTATACACATGTCGTCGCTTTGAGACTTTTCAAATGAATGTAACTTCACACATGTGAAGAGATATTATATTTGAACACATTTGTGGAGATGGGTTGAAGATAGGATCGAGATAGAAGAAGAATTTAATCAATGATATTTATAGTATTCTTCATTCCTTCCAGCTTCAGGAATAAAGACCAAAATTCTCAGTCTCACATGTTTATCTGCGTAATAAGTAAACGATTTACAAGCTTTTGACTAATACATTGGTTTTTGAGACCTTTAGCTAAATGTACTACCAGATATACAGTTCTTCTTCAGATATTTTTGGATCACTCCCACAAACAGATTATGACCCTCAATTACCCAGTATCTCTTCTAAATGCCTCTCTAAATCGTCTCTTTGGAGACTCGGAAGGTCATGGAACTTACTTCAATAATTTACTAATCCTAAAATAGTGTAACGTATTTACAAAGGATATGTAATATGGTTAAGTAAGTTTAGGTTAGGTTCAGCTTATGTTCAGTTAAGATTAGAGTTAGTAATCTAGAGAGCTATTCCCAAGACCTCCTTTTGTACTCATTTGACTACAATTAATAATTATCTAAACACCTTAGAACAATTATTCAGATTTAATATATCAATTAATTTGTGATAGTCATTCTGAAAGTTACAGAGCAATTAAATGATAAAGTAATTACGAATCCATCAATAATAGGAATTACTCAATTTGTTCGTGGGCGTCCCACGACTTTTCACAACCCACGACCACATAGCAACTCATCACAACTTTTCACTTCAGGGGGCAGAATCCAGGAGCATAAACCTGTTTGGAGTAATTCGGAGAGGAAAGAGAAGAATCACCCTGGGAACAACCGGCATGGAGATGGCTTCAGAGAGAACTAACCCCTTGATCATCAAATACAGAGAATTTTATACTCTTCTGAGTAGGCTAAAGTTTCCCTCCAGACAATCTTCTTGAAGGAAGAGTTTCTTTGTTTTCTTCCTCATTGTAGATCTTCCTCTTTTCCTTCCTACTTCAATAGTTTCTAACATCAACGTCTTTTCTAAACCATTTTTAATCGTTTTATCTCCGAAGTAGGTCAGTATTTTAAAGATATTTTGATGGTGAAATGACTATTTATTTCTGGCCCTGTTGAAGGCTTATATATCTTTGCCTAGAGGAAGTATTGGGTTTCAGCGGATGCAACAAGGGCGTGGATCGGAAGATATTTAGATATTTTGAACTCTAAGACTCTAATAAAATTAATTTCATTTAAGATTTAAATATCTTCGTAAAGATAGAGGCTGCCTGGCTGGCATTCATATTTCTTGAAAATAAAGATACTTCGGCCAGTAAATCTTTTTATTACCTCGACGTTTCGACAAAAATCTTTTGTCCTCGTCAGGAGAAAACAAAACATTTAGCAAGGCGTTAAAAATCATTCTTTTTTGTCGAAACGTTGAGGTAATAAAAAGATTTACTGGCCGAAGTATCTTTATTTTCAAGAAATATTTAAATATCTTTTATATCTGTCTATGGATAATTGAGAGTTTCTTTTAACAAATTATTCCCTCAGTGAACTGTCTTATATTTAAAATATACAATCTTCATCTGCTTTCAATCATAACTGGAATGAAACATGTCCGGTTTCTCAATTACATGGCCTTCGATTCATGTCATGGTGAACGGCTCAATTTTCTGAGCATTTACTGGAAATATTAAAATAAAATTAAGACATTCTCCTAATAAATATTTATATGCATCGTGAAAGACTTTTCATCTTTTCTTTATCCTAAAAGGATACTTTGGAAATGGATATAATATTGGGTTTTCTATTGTAGAGATTAATTTTAAAGCAAACTAGCATGGACCAACTTCCAGAAACATGCACAAGATCGACTTTTACTATTAAAGAAAAAGACATCTCCTAATCATCTGAAACTAAAAGTTGCTGATGGCTTGCGCCATCTGTCGGAATAAATAGTACTAATCGTTGATTTATGTAATTAATACAAAATTAGTCAAATACCCATTCTTGATTAATCAATGAAAGCTAACCACGCTAAGAACTCATAAATCTAAAAATAAAATCTACAACAAATTGTAAACATAAGGTAATGAGAATAAATGGTTAAACCGTTTGGTTTTCGACCACTACGACCCGGGTTCGATTCCCGCATTGGACACTTTTTTCTGTTAAAAAAAAAAATGCTCCAATGGCCCCCGATTCTTGCAAAAGTCCAACCCCACCAGCGAGTGCAAGTAACCAAACGGGGCTCTGGCACATTTGTAAGTACAAAGTCGAACTGCTTTTCACATGTGTAGACATGTGGTGCGCTTACAGTAAAATCAGTCGCTAACTACCCACCATGATTATCATGGTCTGTACCACGTGTACTAGGGATAAGCAAAAAAAAAAAAAAAAGAATAAATTTAAATAAATTAAATATTTGTGAAGTTTCGGTAACAGCATTATTATCATTATCAGACCAAAGTATTGAATTTGTATGATAACAACACTAACCGAAACTTCACAAAGATTTCATTAATTTGATTTAGTCTTCTTACCTTATGTTTCTAATCTATAGTCCAAATTGTATTTTATCACTATATTGCCATATTGAAATTCAAAGGTTTTCTTATAACAACGATTCTTTAGTGCATATAAGAATGTTGTTGGTATTATTATATACCATGTTTACATAATATGTTATAATACCTTGATTCAATACTTTGGTCTGATAATGATAACAATTGAAAAGAAACTCATGCGGTGTAACTTCAAGTGTCGTTTTACAATCACAGGCTGCAGTGTATTATATTGTATTATAAGTTACTTTATGTATCATTTACGAACGGAAAAAATACGTCCAGGGTAGCTTAGTGGACATGGCATCTGCCCGGTAAGCGGAACATTGTGGGTTCGATTCCCATCCCTGGACACTTTTATTTTTCCGTTCATCATTACTCTTCATAATTCACCCTTTTATACCTCATCCAAAAAGGTTAGAAATAGTCGATATTTTACCTTGAAATAAAATTTAAAATTTTTCGTTTAAAAGAAACTCATGCGGTGTAACTTCAAGTGTCGTTTTACAATCACAATCCACAGTGTATTATATTGTATTATAAAAATGCTGTTACCGAAACTTCACAAATATTTCATTAATTTAGATTTATTATTATTACCTTATGTTTACAATTTGTTGTAGATTTTTTTTTTTTAGATTTCTGAGTTCTTAGCATTCGAAGCCATCAGCAACTTTTAGTTTCATACCATCAGGAAATATATTTTTCTTTAATAGTAAAAGTCGATCTTATGCATGTTTATGGCTGTTGGCCCATGTTAGTTTGCTTTAAAACGCATTTCTACAATAGAAAACCCAATATTATATCCATTTCCAAAGTATTATTTTAGGCTAAAGAAAATAAATAGTATTTCACGAAGCATATAAATATTTAATAAGAGAATGTCTAAAATTTGATTTTAATATTTCCAGTTGGCTACACGCAACAACACTAACAAAAAGCTTTAATAAGATTTTTAGTCTTATACATAATTTTCAAGTTGAAGAGGGGGTATACAGAAATGGCTACACACAAAGAGATTTCTGTCAATATTCCTGTTAGAGGAAAATACGGTGACCTCTGATCCCCCTCTCTTTCACTCTACCACGCGGAAGTCCCAGAAATAACCGTCTGCCTTGAAATAGCTTCTCCCATCGCACCAGAAGAACTGGCCGCAAAGTTCTCATTGTGAGAGGCATTCCTCAGTGATATGCAGAGAGTTAGGTTTCAAGAACAGAAATAGAGATAAGATCGTGAGTGGCTTGAAATCTTAAGTCTTCTGACCTTGCCCGACATAGAGCTTGAAGAAAAGAGCTGTCTTTATTTGTTTTTATAACAATAAAAGTCTAACAATACGTTTCTTTATGTTCGTATTACAAAATTTATAGAAATATATAATATGATGCACTAGCGCGCCATCTGTTATCAATTTATTTTCAAAAAGAATCTTACGCCTTTAAAATAGTTTCGAATTTTGATACAAATATATATTTAAAAAAGATGAATATATTGGATTTATAATGGTTTTATTGTTCCAATATTTCGAGGGGCAACTTGCCTCTCTTTATCGAGGATTTTATTGTTTTTTTACTTCTTCTTCTTTCTTATCTCCACTCAATCACACTAAGATATCAAGCTTGTAGAGCTTGAGACTTTTGATGGTGTCTGCCGGGGAAGAGTAGAGCTCATCAATGGATGAGTCAATACAGTCAAATAATATGTATTGCAGGCTAAGAATTGCACTTAGTACATAGTGGGAAAACCCTGCAACCATTTACTAAAACATGCGATAACATTTACTAAAACATAAAAGAATTATATCTTTGATTTATACAATTTGAAAAAATTTACAAGACGTATCTCTTTTTTAATTTGAAAGTACAAGCTTTTACGAGGTCGTGCTTCATCAGGATAATGGGTCTCAAAGGCGTGCAACATATATGCAATTAAATAATGCAACAGGTTTCTGAAGATGAGTTTATTTTAATATTTATTAATACTATGACAAGCTTTCGGACATCTCTGCTCTTCTACAGGGGTACATAAAAACGAATAATAATAAACACCACCGTTAGATATTGCTTTAGATGTTGTACTAAATTCGAAAAATCTCGTGAGAACGCCCTTGCAACCTCAGAACAATTTTTAACGTCTTGCCAAATGCTTTATTTTTATTTACTTCTCCTGACGAAGACAAAAGATTTTTGTCGAAACGTTGAGAAAAAAAAAAAAAGATGAATTCAAAAAATTGAAAACAAATAAAAATGTATAACTATAGAGGATTTTGGGAAGAGTTTCTAAGGAATTATTTACGTTGTATATACTGAAATTGCTGAGGTAGATAAATTCTTCTGTTTATTAAAAATGAGAAGACATTTTAAAATTCTTTAATTTTGAATCTAATCAATGCCTTCTGTTATGTTGTTATTGTCTTTGAAGATTAAAGACTCCAGAATAATTCTATGTATTCAGAGATGTTATGGAAATGACAATTAATATCAAATAGGTTCTTTAGGCTATTTTACCGTGGATTCACATATATATGATCTTGAGAAATATAAGCAACTTTTAAGAAGCAATTTTCTATATAGATAAATAACTTAGATTTTAATCTGAAAAGCCAGCCTCATCGACATATTGGAAGTTATATTAAACAATTTTGATCCAAAATAATCATTATTTATTATATATATGTTATGAATATTTTGTTGTTGTTTTTAGATAAAGGGTTGATAAGACAAAAGATCGATAAGATAAAGGGTTGAGGTGCAGTCGAGATAAGAAAAAGATAATTATTTACCGTCAAGTAGCTTTTATTTTCAATTATTCGAGGAAAGATTACACATTAGTTATTTTCACATTATATAGAATTTATAAAGTTAATCCTATATTAGTGATTTAAAAGGATAGATATGTTAACTACGCATATTTACAACAAAACTGAAAGTCTTTCTAAAAACGATTATAACAAAAGTAAAATTATCAATGAATAAAATAAAATATATATTTTTAAAATATAGAAATATTTGAGTTTTTAGATTATATAATATATATATAATATTATTTATTTAAAGTATTTTCAAAATAGATTGATAGATTTTCAACATATATATATTTTTTCAGAGCTGTTAAAAAAACTTTTTCAAATCGAATTATATTAGCAATTATCCCTCAATTCGAACATTTGCCATACAGGCTGAGAGCTAGTGAGTACAACTAACGGAAATGAAGCGGGGGCCGCAGTTATCGATGTGATATGATTGATTGAAGGTTTAATGGCTGGAGGTTGGTTGAATCCTAAATTAGCGGAATTCCTGAGCTTTTTGTCATTTAAATGGCTCCTTTCAGCTCGCCTGAACTATGCTTACCGATCTACCAGGAGCGTTTAACGAACCTTTTGATTATAACGCGTAAATATATTTCACAGTTAAGACCATATAAAATAATATAAAGATAGTATAATATTGTAAAATGTTGTTATATTTAAAATATATACTTAATGTGTACACTGTGTGACAAGGAAATTACTGAAGAACTTCCCCATTACCTGCTTAATTGTACAGCCCTTGATGCAGAGAGGAAGGCCCTATATCAACAAATTAAATGTACCAACATTTCACCCTACGTATTGCTTTCAAAAATATCAGCAAACAAATCTAAGGCAATAGCTTACTATAAATATTTTAGATCATCATTATGTAAGGACCAGTCAACAAGTGAATGACTTTGAGATGAAGAGTAAAGCCAGTTCAATTTCTATGTAAATAACACAAGATGATTATTACCTTACCCAATTGGGAGAATCTGTATGGGGCAAGTCGCTAATAAAGGATTTGTTTTTGACCATAGTTTTAGAATACGCCGACTTTTAATACTTGTTGTAAATATTTAGTTATCTAACCTATTTTTGAAATTCACTAATATAGAATTCATTTCATAAATTCTATATAACTGTGAAAAATGTCTTATTTTAATTTTCTTCAAGTAATTTAAAATAAAAACTACTTGATAGTAAATAATTATTCTTCTGCTTTTCTTTCAAAATGACACGTCATGTTATTCAAAAGAACCAGCAATTAATTTCTATCTCAAAATAATATTTATTATAACATATATATATCACCTTCTCATCAATGATGAACCCTCCTAGCGGCTACTATCGTTTTATTTAACGATTCTGCTTATATATGTGACACTGTAGGTGGTAATCTTGGTCATGGTGTTTAATCTAACTATATTGACATAAACCTTAAGACAGTAGAATTACATATAAGTATTCGCAACGAGCAATGCTATTCCACAAACAATTCAGACAATGCCAGTTAGGCATTCAGATTGACTGGCCATGTCTGAAGTGTTTGCGGAAGAGCATTGCTCGATGCAAAAATTTACATGTAATTCAAATGTTCTAAACGCTAATGTCCATACTAGACGAATGGCCCGGGCAACGCCCGGGTTTTACCCGAGTGCGTATATAATTTAAAAACGTTTTAATTCAAATACTATTCGTTACAATTATAAATTGGCGCCATGGATGTCACTCTTGTGAAACCTCCCGTTCCAAACTGTGTGTTTTTAAAATGTTTTAATTAAAATACTATTCGTTACAATTATAAATTGGCGCCGTGGATGTCTCTCTTGTGAAACGTCCCGCCCCAAACTGTGTGTGTCTTGAAAATATAAAAATAAAAATGTGAATTTTCATAAAGATTTCATCATGTCGAATTTTTTTTTTTTGCATTTCACCAACTAAATCGATTGAGATAATTACATTTGCAACATAAACATTATACAAGCCGCATTATATTGTATTTTAAATTACTTTATATAATATTTACGAACGGAAAAATATGTCCAGGGTAGCCTAGTGGTCATGGCATCTGCCCGGTAAGCGGAAGGTCGTGGGTTCGATTCCCATCCCTTGACACTTTTTTTATTTTATCCATTCTGACCAAAATCTATCCGTTAACTTCACACAGTGAACTTCACACAGACAGAATAAGGCAATTATATTATATATATTGGCATCATATATTAACTTTATGAACGGAAAAATATGTCCTGGGTAGCCTAGTGGTCATGGCATCTGCCCGGTAAGCGGAAGGTCGTGGGTTCGATTCCCATCCCTTGACACTTTTTTTATTTTATCCATTCTGACCAAAATCTATCCGTGAACTTCACACAGTGAACTTCACACAGACAGAATAAGGCAATTATATTATATATATTGGCATCATATATTAACTTTATGAACGGAAAAATATGTCCAGGGTAGCCTAGTGGTCATGGCATCTGCCCGGTAAGCGGAAGGTCGTGGGTTCGATTCCCATCCCTTGACACTTTTTTTATTTTATCCATTCTGACCAAAATCTAT